GCTAACTTTCGCGCTATCTGGTTATTCTTGCCTTTGAAGGATTCTAACTTGAGCTTCGGAGCCCTTACGCCGGGTTCTCCCCGGAGCTTCTCTTCTCCTTCCGTTTCAGGTCCCTGTTACTCAGTTCAGAGGCAAGATCATTGACAGCTAAGACCGGCCAGATTGTGCATCATCATTAATCATACTACAATTTATTTTGTAAGTTGATTTTATCGAGAATATGCCATTAAGATTTAATCTATCGATCAATTTATCCTTTTTTGATCATGAGAGGATAAAAATAGATCTAATTGTGGCCCATATATATGAAGGGACAAGACTACACATTTTGTTTTCCATCCACATCATTCAACCTGAACTAGAGAGATGGTTTTAGCAATCAATGAATCATCCAACCATCTATCATTTTAAAACTTTATAGTTTTACTATTACCAATTTCCCATCCAATACCCTTCTTGAGAAGACATCTAGCCTTTAGGATTCCCCGACATCTAGCCTTTAGGATTCCCCTCCAAGATCATGAAGTTTTTTTTTTTTCATCACTCTAGAAGTTTTCCCTTTTTAAATATTTTCCCTTAATCACTTAATCCATAGGTTATCCTCCTCATTTAAAACCTTCCAACCCACTTTAGCTAGACTAGCTTCATTAACTCAATGGAAATTCTTTAAACCAAGCGCAACCCAACTCTTTGGATAACAAACTTTCTTCCATCTTAATAGATGGATAGGCCTTTTATCATTTGAGTTAGATCACAAAAAATTTCTTTGGGATTTGTATACCTCTTCAATGATATTGGGGAAGTCTGAAGGATCTCAATAAAAATTGAGATATCATATGTCTTGTTGCATTTAGAAGTTACTCTCCTAGCCAAAGAGAGTATTTTTCTTCCAACCTGCGAATTTGTTGATAAATTTATCCTTAATATTCAAGAAAGTGTTTTTGGTGACCCTTGAATTGATTAAAGGAGCCCCTGAATAAGTTTTTGAGTTTGTTTGGATCAAAATCCTCAAAATTCAAGCCAATTTTTTTTTTTAAATCTATTAGGAATGTTTTTGGAAAATTGGATTGTGGACTTGTTAAAATTTGGGCTTTGCCCTGGAGCATTTGTAAAATTTATTAAAATATCTTTAGTTCTCATGTATGTTGGGATTGTAGTTTGGGTTAATTACTTATGTATACCTATATATTTGAGAAACTACTTATATATACCTCAAACTTATAAAAACAACTTATGTGTACCTTGTTTACCTTTCCAAGGTTAAGTCTAATAGAGGCAGAGGTAGAAGTGATTGCCCAGCATTTTGATTATTCAAGGGCAAAATTGGTATTATAAAAACTTTTGAAGTGAACTGTTAATGGCACTGGTAAGCCTGATCCATCCTAGGTTAGGCTTGAACAAAATTTTAAGCCCACGGGCTCGGGCTCTAAAAATTGGGCCCAACTATTTTTCAGGTTGGGTTCGGGCTTTCCCAAGTAAGCCCGGCCTGATAATATTAAATATATAATATAAATAATGATATATGCCTTAATAATATATAATATATATTATATAATAATAAAATTAATAGCAAAAAAGTATTATATATATATGTTAAATGTATAAAATATTATATAATACATAATATATTATTAATAATATATAATTAATATATTATAAAATGCATATCAAAATCGGACTTCAACTCAGGCCCAGGCTTTGGGCTTTATATAGGGCCAGGCTTGGGCTCAAGATCTAGGCCCAATGGTTGGGTTCAGGCCTGATGATTTTCTGTTTATAAAGAGGCAAAGCCCAAGCCGAACCCGAACAGGTCTAGTCTCCACCAATACACCCTAGAAGCAATCAATGTTTGATGAAAATTTTAAAAAGCACAAATTTAAGATAAAAGACTTATACCTCCTTGGACTTTCTCCTACAGAACCACCATCTTTTTTTCAAACTGGACTAAGACCTCCATTGTTAGGTAATATCATCATACAAAGGCCTCCCTTCTATTAAAAAACTATCGAGGCCCGTTTGCACATTCAGTTATAAAATTTCATTTTGCCCCTAGCTTATCACAACCATTAATAAGTCTGCCGCTGCAACTCATGGTTTATCACGGTGTCAATAAGTTTGCCGCTGCTACTGATGGTTTAGCGGTTGGTAACTTGAAAAAAAAATGTTTCTTACATTGGTTGCCATAAAAAATTCTTTATACAAAAACTTCACGTTGTAATGGTAGCGAGCGCTGACGTAGGGAGAGATTAGGCATTTGGTCTGCAAAGAACTTAGCAACTCTCCTTGTTACTCAGATTGGAACCAGGGCAAATAGAAATATGTACAGTACAGATATATAAAATAATACAAAATGTAAGGCTTTGCACTCTATATATTTGTATTTGTATTCCTTTCAAACTGAGCCGTAGGTTGTATTTGATTATAGTGTAAATTTATTTGCACTAATAAAAATATATGGGAGTGCAAATATAAAAAATGCAAAATTTATTTTAATTTTGCTTTAGATTGATTTTACTTCATTCTGATTCATGTCCTAATTTACTTCATATGTATTGCAATCAAACAAAATAAGCTAAAATTTGAAACAAAAATAGGTCAGAATTTACACTAGAATCATTTGCACTGCCATGATTTTGCATCAGTGCAAATTTATTTGCATTACAATCAAACACAGCCTTAGACTCATTTTGGAAGGAGTATAAATACAATATACAGTACAAATATATACAAAATAATATAAAATATTAGGTTTTGTACTCCACAAATTTGTATTTATACTCTTTTCAAACTGTGCTTTAAGAATACAAATGCAAATATATATAATACAAATACATGCAAAATAATACAAAATATAAGGTTTTACATTCTACAAATTTACATTTGTATTCCTTCAAAACTGAGCCTTAATGAATTTGGTTGCACTCTGAATCTGCTGCGCCCATAATCCCAAACTGTTCCCACATGCCCATCCACACAACACCACTGCCATGTATTAAAAACATTTCATGAATAAAGGAATATTCTCAATGCAAAGCAATAATGTCTCGTACGTGAATAAGGGAGGTGGGAACAGCTTCTGGGTATAGTAGCAGATATGTACCTCCTTTTTTCTTCATTTATTTGGCATAACTGTATATACCTAAGAGTCTATTTGGTTCGCAGGAATAAGGGTCCGGAATCGGAATCGGAATCGAAATGGATTATTCCGATTCTAGATGTTTGGTTGGGCGGAATCCAAATCCAAGCGTAATGGCAATCCCTCATTTGAGGGAATAAGGGAATGGCCATTCCCAACCCACCCCCAGTAATCGGATTCCCATTCCAGCCGGTTAAAAGGAAAATGACCGTAAAACCCCTCAAACCCCCGATTCAAGTTTGCAACCTTCTTTCTCCTCCCTCTCGTCACTCCCTCCTTCAAAACCTTCTGCAGCTCGGCGGCTGAACTCTGAAGATCCGACCTGTATTACTCTGGCCAGGTCATCATGGATTTCTCTCTCCTTTCCTCCTCTTCTTATTCTTCTTCGAAATCCGCCGCCCATGCTCTGCTTCCTCCTTCTTCCTTCTTTTTTTTTTTTTTTTTTCACTAACTGAAATGTGGTTTTATGTTTTGCAGATCTGCTCTACTCTATTGGGATCGATCTACTTCTTCACTGCTACCATAACTAGTTTTTCACACCAGTCAATCCAGGCAATCGGTGAGTATAGTTCATAATTGATAATCTATTGATTAAAACTCACGATTGATATTATTAGGATAAGCAAAATGGTGACGCACGGTTGTTTTGCTCAATACTACTAAATATACAGCTGTATATAGATAGGTGGGTGCAATTATATTTTGGTTGTTCTAACAAACGTCTTCAATAAGTTCATGTTGTGACACTTTGGCTCAAACAGGTTTTTTAATTTCCTGAAAATAAAATTTGTCGTGCTTCTTACAAAACTTACATAGGATGAAGATGAAACTTGTATTTCTAATAAAGACTCTGAGATTCAAGTTAGTTTATCATCATATGCAATACGAAAGTAATTTTCTTTCCAATTTATTAATGTTTTCAATATTTAATTTCAATTCAATATAAATTCCATTGAAAATATAAATCCAAAATTTCAACCTATCAAATTCGGATTAGGAATACCAATTCTATCCATTTGATGCTCTCATTGTAAATTATTGTGACACTGACTGAACTGAAATAATATATTTTTTTGTAAAAAGAAAATGAGATATACATGAGGTTACAATTGTATTGTGCCCTGAAATTCTTTTTCTTTCCCATGTTGAACTTAAACAATATCTTTGCTAGCCCAGACCTGCTTTCAATAAGACCATACCAACACTGCTTTCATCATGATTTGAAACACTTAGAATGCTTGCACCTTCAAGTTCTATGTCATTCTCATGGGCAGCTTCTAACATAGACATTCCAATGGGAACTTTGATATGCTTCTCCTCTCCATCTTTGTCTACAAATGTCACAGATATCCTGTTATTCATCAAAAAAATGTCACAGATACCCTTCATAGAAATTAAGCCACAGGAATGAAGAAAACATTTCCTATCATCTAAAGGACATGGGTTTCTTTGTGTAATTCCTTTCTGGATTATGTGACTAAACTCATCTGTCTTTGTGTTTTGGGATTTTACAGCACTCTGGAGTTTATCCTGACTATACCAATGAATCATCTAATCTCGCTTCAGGGAGGCTAAATGCGGAAGCTGTGACATTGCTGCTTGATAAATGGTGGGGATCTGGCATTGTCCATGCAACAGTTTGGATGTCAGATCATAAAGATGTCTATATTGGCTCTGCTAACAATGACTGGAAATCTCTCTCTCAGGTATTCACTTATACGTTCAATAGAAAAATAATCTTCTTTATTTGTTGAAGAAGGTATGATCTTTCTATTGGCTATACTTGTATATTGTTATCCTTTCTTTCAGAAATATAGTTTGATTCTTGCTTTACATTTTTCATAAAAATATGAAAACAAATAAAGTGTGCAATATGGAATTTTACCAAAAAAATATTGATTAYTTGTTGTTGGGTGAAAGACTATAAAATCAATGAATATTTTATTAAGATAATTTCACTGATTGTCTATGTTATAGTTGCAGAGTTTGTTATTTAAACCAATCAAATATGGTTAACCAAGTAGCTACTTGAGATACCACAGGAATGTGATACAATACTGCCAATAAATATGCTAGGCAATACTGCCATGGACAATAGTCACAATACAACATTATCCAGTGCCTCAATTTTACATTAAATATTTATTGTTGCGTGAAAGTGATGGAAAATGTCTTTCTTACTATGGAACATTGGAACCTTGAAGTAAAAATGAGGAGAGATTACATAGACATGGTTAATACTAACAAACTAACAAAAAAATACTCTCAAAAAAGACCAAGGAATAAAAGTGCTCATTATGGTAATGTAGGATGGATAGACATGCGAAATAATATTCAAACAAATGTGCTTAAGGTCAAAATTCTCCATGAACATTTAAATTCTTAGCTTCTAAATCTCCTTTTTTCAATATTTCCCTTATTATCAACATATGGAATCTTTTGGCAGAGTATTGCAAGTATTTGTCTAAATTTTATAGTTACAGGAATTTCATTGATAAATGTTCTGGGAACCCCTTATTATCAACTATTTTTAGGAATAAGGCATGGATGATGATGACCAATTTATCACCCCTGCTTCTGGTGTTGACTTCTGTTAAAAAATTCTATTGTTTCTTTTATTCCAAATGGCTCACATAATTGCTAGGGGGTAACTGGTCAACAAAGTTTCTCTTTTTTAGACATATACGAGAGACTTCATTCTTGTAAGAGAACTGAAAATGGGAAACGCCATTGCAGATTGAGTGCCCTGATAAAATGAAGCCAAACAACAGTACTAAACCTGCAATGCAAGAACAGATGGCTAACTGATTCTTCCTCAGCATTACAAAGCACACACAAGCTGTCTTGAACATTGAACCCCTTACTAACATTTCTTTAGTCAAACACTTCTCCAAACTACCCATGTGAAGAATTTCACTTTTGAAGGGATAGAAGTTTCCCAAACAGCCAAAATAGGGCATTGATCCCTTTGCTCCAACTAAGCCTTTATAAAAGAATTTAACAGAAAATTCCCCTGAGGACATCCATTTCTAGCATCTTGAATCTTGTAAATTCAGATTTGAGTCCTAATTTTGTAGTAGAGCTAAGAGGTAAGCCATCAAATCAAGTTCCCAATCATTGAAGTGCCTTCTGAAGGAAGGAGTCCATGTGATCATGTTTCCAGACACCTCATAGGATTCAGCCACCCAGGCCATTTTGTTTTCAGCAACATTAAACAAGGTTGGAAACCTGTACTTTATGCCAATTCACCACACCAAGGGTCCATCCAGAACCATAACTTCCTTCTATCTCCCAGTCTGATCTTTACCTTCATTGAAACTACTAAAAGCTCTAGAAATACCTTTCCACGCCCCGCACCTTTCGGTTTTTTTTTTTTTTTGAAAAAGTTAAGGTAAATTTATTGATAGAATTCAGAACCATACAAAGAAACTCCCAAAAGGGAGCAAAGGCTGAGAACAGCCTCTCAGCATATTACATCTCAAATATACTAATAGATCTTAATTGAGACCCCAAGACCCTAGGCTGGAAGCCTTTCCACACCCCACACCCTTAGGATAATTGAGAATTTTTTGCATCCTAGGCTCCTATCCATTACTGCTTATTCCATACTTATCAGTTATGACCTTCCTCCAAACAATTTTGGGTTCTGTAGAGAACCTCCAAAACCATCTTCCCAAAAGTGCCTTGTTAAAGAGATTTCCTTCCTGATTCCTAAGCCTCCATTCGATAGTGGTTTACAAACCTGATCCCAGTTCATGAAATGATATTTGGTTGAGCCCTTCCAACCATTCCACATAGGTCTCATTTTCCATTCAATCTGTGAGGGGATCGAGTACATGGACATATAATAAGCTGGAATGCTTGCCAACAAATTTTATTAAAGTCACCTTAATTCCTTTAGAAAGATACCAAGCTTTCCAAGCAGCCAGCTTCAAGTCCATCCTCTCTAGAATTGGGTTCCAAATGGCTTTTGATGTACACAGTCCCTAATGGAAAACCCAAGTATTTTGAAGGCAAACATCCTACTTTGCAACCCAAAATATCAGCCAACTCATGCACATTTGCAATATCCCCAACTGCCATGCATATTTATAATCAAATACTACAAATAGGGTAAGATGCCCTTTTCTACATGATGTTTTTCTATTTGTTTTGTTGGTTGTATGGTCCATTCAATTTTTGCTTTGATGGTTGATGTATACATGTCTAATTGGTAGGTTCCTTTGGTTTGTATAATTTGTTTGTTCAGGCTAAGTTGGTTTAGTGTTGCAGAAAATGTTCGCTCAAGGGATTGCTCTTAATCTTGACTTCGCATTTTAGAAGTGAAAATCATGGAACCCAGATGCGTCTTTCAGTTTATACACTTTCTTACTTATCTCACCCCATAATTGGTTCATGAGGTTAGATGGTTCAGATGGAACTCACTGTAAAAAATATGGGTTCAGATGCTAGAAGGTTAGGATTTATTCATCAATCACCAAATTACAACCAAATTCTAACCTTTTAAGCTGAAGTTCAATTGTAGAAGATGAAATGTAGGAGTGGCATTGTATTATAGATGCAAGATTTTTGTTTTTAAACATTCATGTTGTACTAGTAATATTTCCACCATTATGAGAGATTTTTGTTTATTTATGTATTGTTCTTTTCATTTTTATGGAGAATGATTTTTTGTGATTTTTGTTTGTTTATGTGCTTTTCTTTTTTTTTTTCATATTTTCTCTATATATGCACTTGGTAACAGGTTTCCAATGTGTGTATATGTTGAAAATATATAATTAGTGGATGATTTTGTGGTTCTTTTAACAGGGGCAGAATTGGAAACTTTGGCTGATTCCGATTCCAGATTCTAGTTGAACCAAACAGCAACAATTGAAATCTGATTCCGATTCCTAACTGAACCAAACAAATGCCAGGAATAGGTGATTCTGATTCCGATTCCGATTCCGGTCATGTCTGCGAACCAAACACACCCTTAATTTGTTGCTGAACTTGTTCAACTTTTAAATTGGCTTTTGAGAGAACATTTCATGAATAAGGAAGAGGGTGGGCTTGGCCTTAAAAATGTCTTACTACAAAACAGAGCTTTACTTATGAGGTTTTGTTGGAGGTTCTTAAAGACAAATGCTTTATGGGCCCAAACCTTATGGGCTAAATATCTTAGGCCCCGTTTGACATGCGGAAGATCTCACCGCCAAAAGATGGGGCGTCGAAAAGACGTGGGAAACCCATTTTGGGCTGATTTCGGGAAGCTCCAAATGAAGTTTCCCGTGTCTTTCGCATTTTAATCTCACGTGGAAAGACCCGAAACAACACACGGAAAGACGCACGTTTGCCAAACGATATTCGGTCTTCCTAGATCTTATGTCAAAAGCTCAATGCATCTATTGACTATCAGAGCTACAAGATCTTCTCAAAAAGACTTGCCAAATGAACCCTTAGCTATGGTGATACATTCTAGACGGGAAAATACAAGAAAAACACTTCATTGATTTGGCGTACTATGGTGAAATGTCAATATGATTTGTGTATGGGGGCACTTTGGGTAGTAGGCAATGGATGGATTATTATACAAAGTCTGATCCATGGATACCAAGTTTTTCAAATTCAGTAATGGATGCAATGATGGCTCATAATACCCAATGTACCAGGGTCACCCACCTAATAGATACACTCACGAGTAGAGAATTAGTGTATTTGGACAAAATTATATAGTGGGTGAAATCAATGCTATTAAACAGATTCACCTCCCAAAAGATGCTTGTTTAGTGTGGACCAAAAATGCCTTGGGAGATTTAACCACAGCTACAGCTTATAGAGCGTTACATCTTCAAGAAGGTCAGCCCACCACTAGTCTACCTGCTTTTGGGAGTATTACTTGGAAACAATTTTGGCATATCAAAAATCTACCACCTCGTTTACATTTATTCATTTGGCGTGGGATTCATAACTTGCTCCCGGTGAGATCTGCACTAGCAAAAAAATTTCAAGGTGCTCTGCTGCTAAAGCAGAGGCTTTGACATTACTTGAAGCTTTGAAATTTATCCTAGAACTTGTGTTGAATTTGGTACAAATTGAGGAGATGCTATGAGAACAATAGAGAGAGAGGGATTTGAGTGATGGCCAAATAATATATTTGACTGTTTCTTCTTTATTTATAGATTACATTAATAGGATATACAAGAATGAATTCTATTTGATCTAGGATAGGATTAGTTGTAATCCTAAATAGAATAAGACTTATCTTTCTAGGATAGGAGTTATTCTTTACAAAGATAATCTACAGAGATAATTATTACTAGGATACGGGTTATCTACAAAGATGATTAATATGTGCATGAGTCATGCACGTATCATTGTTGCTGACCCCCCCTCAAGTACAGCCGGGGAAGAAATGGTGAGCTTGTGACAAAGAACTACAAATTGTGGTAAACCTAGGGGCTTTGCGAGAATATCTGCTAATTGATCAACCAAGGGGATGAACCAAACATCAAGAAGTTTAGTTACAACCTTTTCTAGTATCAAATGAATATCCAACTCGATGTATTTAGAGCGAGAGTGAAGTGTAGGATTAGTAGCAAGAAATTTAGCCCCCATGTTGTCACACCATATTAAAGGAGTTGCAGAGAGGGAGATACCTAATTTTTTGAGGAGCATATGAAGCCATAGAACCTTAGTAGTCGCAGAAGCCAAACTATGATATTCTGATTTAGTGCTCGATCGAGTCACAGTTTGTTTCTTTTTGGAACTCCAAGAAATTAGATTAGAGCCAAAGAACACACAATAACCACTTTGAGAGCGGTGATCCATGAGACAGCTTCCCCAATCAGCATCAGAGTAAGCAGTAAGAGAGAATGTACGACATGGTTGGTTGAAGAAGCATACCATAAATAATTGATCCTTTGACGTGTCGAAGGATCCTTTTTGCAGCAGCCCAGTGGACGGTAGTGGGAGTTTGCATGAACTAACATACCTTATTGACTGCAAATGCAATTTATAGACGAGTAATAGTCAGATAGTAAAGAGCACCGACAATACTACGATATAAAGTAGGATCGGTGAGAGGCTCCCCTTCTAAATTTGTGAGCTGAGTGGAGGCAGACATAGGAGTGGAGAGCAGTTTTACATCATGGAGTTGGCTCTATGCAGAAGATCTTCAATATACATGTGTTGAGACAGATGAAAACCATTGGATGATCTGTGAAGTTCAATGCCAAGAAAATAATGTGCGGGGCCCAAATCATGAAGAGAAAACTAAAAAGCAAGATGCTGAATTAGAGAGCTAATGGCCAAAGGAGAGGATTATGTGATGATGATATTGTCCACATAAACAAGAACCAAAACAATACCAGATGTAGAGCAAGATATAAACAAAGAGGCATCGGCTCTAGATTCGAGAAACCCTAGGGATAGAAGTGAATCCCATAGCCTTGTAAACCGTGCACGTGGGGCCTGTTTCAGACCATATAAGGATCGATGGAGATGACAAAATATGTTGGAAATCTGGGGTCAACAAATCTAACCGGTTGCTTCATATATATTTCTTCTGAAATATTACCATGTAAGAAGGCATTGCTAACATCCAACTAGCGAACATCCCAATTAAAGGAAACCGCAAGAGATAAGACTATGCGAATTGTAGCTGGTTTAACCACAGGGCTGAATGTCGGATCATATTTAATGCCAGCTTCTTGAAAGTAGCCGTTAGCAACAAGACAGTCTTTGAAGCATTCAACCGAACCATCATGTTTACGTTTGATTTTAAAAACCCATTTGTTGCCAATAATATTTTTATTAGGTGGAGGCAGAACGAGGGTCCATGTATTAGTATGAAGTAAAGCATTGTACTCATCAGTATGAGTTAGAAGTAGGAAGCAGAGGTCACTGGAGAGGGTCCCCATAAATCACAGTGAATTAATTCTAAGGGAGAATTACTAATAGCATGATTTCTGGAAAAGGGAAGTACATGACTCTTAGCTATTGAGCAAGCTGAGAAAAAATTTAAGCCAGTACTAGAAGCTACTGGTAGATGCTAAGAAGAAATAATTTGTTAAGTCATTTTGAGAGCAGGGTGACTTAGTTGATGATGCCAAATCTCAAGACTAGCACGAGTACCTACAAATGCAGTAGGAGATGAAACCACAGTTGATAACTTGATTGGAAGATGCAGATGATATAGACCACCCTCATTCGACCCTTGAAGAAGTATCATCTCGGTGCATCGATCCTTCACAAAAAATTCATGAGATGAAATTCAAAATAAACATTGTTATCAACAGAAAACCATGCCACAGATAAGAGATTGAAACAAATCTAGGGAACATGGAGAATATTATTCATAACCAATGATCTAGAAGATAAAGCAAAAACAATAGAAGAGCCAGAATGAGCAATCGACAAACTTGAACCATCGCCAATGGAGATACGATCTGAACCATCATAGTCAAAGTGTATTTGCAGTTTGTTCAGATCCAAAGTAAGATGATGTGTCACACCAGAATCAAGAAACCAAATATCTGTATTCTGCTTGTCACGCCCTAATGCAGCCGTAAACACCAGAGGTTGTGGTCGTTTAGGGTTCTTCAGACTGTTAATATGTGCAAAGAGTTTTCGACAGTACCTAGTAGAGTGATTTAATCCTCAAAAAATTTGGCAAGGATTATTGCTGTATTTGGAGGGAATAGAAGATCCATTACCCGTTTGTGGTAGATCAAGTCTATTATATTTTTTGGAGTCCTTGCTTTTGGAGGCAAGATCCGCAAAAGGAGAGCTAGCATGTGTAGATGTAGTTACTGAATGAAGCAAACGATTCTTATGAGTTGGAAGCATACCTTGTAAGATGGCAAAGGATAGCTCATCTGTTTGGGTAATGATTGCTGTAGAAAAAGCATCATAATCTGGACCAAGACCATTTAGGGTATGATGAATTAACTGTGAGTTTGTCAGAGGCTCGTTGATTATAGCTAGCTTATCACTAAATACCTTGAGTTTTTGGAGATAATAAGTCATGGAGAGATCATTTTTCCGTAACGCTCCAATTCCATTCCTGAGGCCAACAACACTAACTGTTTCTCGAGGAGAATAAAGGTTTTCAAGAGTTACCCAGACTTCTCTGCTTGTTTTGCTTCCTACGACCTGTGCCAGTGTTGCTTCTATCAAAGAGAATAAAAGCCAACTGAAGATGTAACGGTTCGGCTTGACCCATTGTGTATAGGGTTTTGTCATCGAACTTGAAGATCCTGAAGTGGCTATGGTTACCATAGAACGAGGTGGACAAGGAGTTGTCCCATCAACATGGCTGAGGAGTTCATGGCTCAAAAGAGCGTTCTCAACCTAAAAATTCCATACGATGTAGTTGGATCCATCCAACCGAACCAAAATCAGTTGGGGAATATGGTTCCCTAATGCTCCGAAATTTAATTGGTTGATCGAGTTGGTAAACATAGTGGAAGACATGATGAGAATCTTGAATCAATTGCTTTATGGCTCTGATACCATATGAGAACAATAAAGAGAGAGGGATTTGAATGATGGTCTAATAATGTATTTGACTCTTTCTTCTTTATTTATAGATTACAATAATAGGATATACAAGAATGAATTCTATTTGATCTAGGATAGGATTAGATGTAATC